CTTTTTTTCAATGTATATTTTTAATAGGTTTTCAACATATGAAAAGAAAACATGCATAAAAGGACCATACAGAGTGACAAATAATTCGATACACAAAAGAGCAGACGTTTTACCGAAAACAAAGAGCGAACAATGCAGCGTCACAATACAGTTTCAATGATGGATGTGTGCCAATTACAAGATATCAGTTACAGGGTATAATGGCAATGTTTATACAGTTGCAAGAAAAAGTATGTGAACCCTTTGGAATGATATGGATTTCTGCACAACTTGGTCATAAAATGTGATCTGATCATCATCTAAGTCACAACAATAGACAATCACAGTCTGCTTAAACTAATAACACACAAAGAATGAAATGTTGCCGTGTTTTTATTGAACACACCATGTAAACATTCACAGTGCAGGTGGAAAAAATATGTGAACCCCTAGACTAATGACATCTCCAAGAGCTAATTGGAGTGAGATGTCAGCCAACTGTTATAGTGGATGTTATCCCCAAATTATTTTCCCAACTGGACATATAGGGCAATTTAGGTGTGCCTTTTATAGCTACTTGTGCATAATAGCATAGTGTTAGGAATTTGGAGGGAGGGTGTATTTTATTTGCTTTAATCCATGTTTGTCCCAATTTACTGAGTGCAAGGGGTGCGATGTAGTTTATCGATTTAGTCTGTAGTATGTGTTTTCTTCTTAAATATAGAAAAATGTGTCGGGGTGGTATCTTATTGGTTGTTTGCAATTCTGGGAAAGGACAGATGCCGCCTTTGTTGAACAGTGAGTATACATGACTAGCTCCAAGAGCTGTCCAACGTTGTGTGGCAAGTTTTGGCTAAATGAGTGAGAGGGCTGACATAGGAGCAAGGTAAAGCTGCTCCTCTTTGGACCACAGCGACGTGCTCCAGGATGCCCAGGATTTGGTCAAAAGGTTTGTGGCCGGGAGAATATTAGGGTTTGTGGGTATGGAGGATGTCCACAGGGCATTAGGAAGGGATTGTATGCCCCCACATGCTGATTCTAAATGAAGCCAGACTGTTTTGGTTCTGCCTGTCATAATATCCATTCCCTGTGCCAGCACTGTCGCTCTATAGTAGTGTTCAACATTCTGGACACTGATTCTGCCTTTTTTGAGTGGGTGCCAAAGCGAATGAAAGGCTACTCTTGGTGGTTTTTTCTTCAATGTGTGGGCATTAATTGCACTCTGAAAGCATCTGAGAAGTGAGTTTTGGAGGGCAATTGGGAGTGTTCTAAACAAATACAGTATGTGAGGCAGAATCATCATTTTTATGAAGCTGACTCTGTCAATCCAAGAAATGTTTAACCTATCCCATGCGTCCATCTGTTTGGAGATGTTTGATAGAACCGCTAAGTGGTTTTCCCTTATAGTGAGTGCTTTAGATTGAGTTAATTTTATGCTCAGGTATGAAATAGAGGAGGTCTTCCAATCAAAGGGATAGTTCACTTTTAAACTGCCCACTGTATGTGGATCTAGTTGTATGGGAAGTATTTGTGTTTTACTAATATTATTTTTATAGTATGAAATGGTACCATATGTATTTAGTATATTTACTAGGTGCGGAATTGATTTAGTTTGGTTAGTGAGAAATATCATTATGTCGTCAGCGAAGAGAGCAATTTTTTTTTCTCTCCCACCAGGGGGGTTAAGGCCAGGGAGTAGCGAGTCAAGTTTTATTTTTCTTACCAGTGGTTCCAGACATAGAAAAAAAATTATGGGGGAGAGTGGGCACCCTTGTTTCGTTCCATTCGTGATTTGGAAGCTCCTGGATGTAAAGCCGGAATTAAACACTCTAGCAGAGGGGTAGGTGTATAGAGCCGTTATACTTAGGAAGCAGTCAGAAAAGCCAAAGGCTTTTAGGGTAGCTTCCATGTAGGCCCAGTTCAGGCTGTCAAAAGCCTTTTCTGCCTCGAGCGCCATTAGTACTCCTCTCTGTCGCTGGCCATTAGCCCAATCTAACAGGTCCATACAGTATCTAGTGTTATCTCCCACTTGTTTGCGGGGTACGACCCCCGCCTGCTCATCCGAAACTAAAATGGACAGGAGAGGTTTTAGCCGATTGGCAATTAGGTTTGCGTACAATTTCACATCTGCATTAAGCAGGGAGATTGGTCGTAGGTTGCCACACAATGTCAGCGGTTTGTTTGGTTTAGGCAATGTTATGATATATGCCTCTAGCATTTCTTGTGGGAATTTACCGGATTGTTTTATTGCATTGTACAATTTTGTAAGGTGTGGGGTCAGTCGGAATTCCAGTTTTATGTAGTAATAGTTTGAGAGACCGTCAGGTCCAGGGGCTTTGTGTTAGGGGAGGGCTCGGGCCACCTCCTCGTCTGTAAATAATGTGTCTAGTGTTTTATTTTGTTGTTGTGTGGTTTGCGGGAGTGTAATTTGTGATAGATATTGCGATATTTCCGGTAATTCGGGAGTATGTGTATCTTTGTTTTTATTAAGATTGTAGAGGTCTTCATAATATAGGGCCAGTTCGTCTACTATTTTGTGAGGATTATAGATTTTTGTATTCGTTTTGGATGTGATATATGGGATTTTAGTTTACAGGTATTTCAATTTCAATTGATTGGCTAATAGTTTGCCAGCTTTGTTTCCCAGGCAGTAATATTTTTGATTGGTTTAAAGTGCATTCTTTATGTACACCTGGACGCAGAGTTTTTGGATATCTGCTTGGACTTTGGCTATTTGTCTCGATAAAGTTTTGGAGGGGGATTGTTTGTTGGATTGCTCTAATGTTGTTAGTGTTTGATGTAATGTGGCTTCTGTGTTGTGGAATTGTTTTTTGATAGTGGAACGTGTTTTTATGAAGTTGCCTCTAATGACTGCTTTATGGGCTAACCATTGTATTTCCACTGACGTGTCATTTGTGGCATTGTTAACGAAGTAATCGTTGATTTCTGATGCTATCTTTAGTAGGTTGGTGGGACATCCAGAACGGATTCATTTAATCTCCATTTACCCCAGCCTTTTGTTGGGCATGATCTCTGTCCTATTGTTTGATTTTGCAGGTGGGGTACAGTTGATTTATCTAACAGACAAAGATCAATTTGTGTGTATGTACTGTGCATTGGAGAGATGTATGTGTAGTCTCTTGCCATTAGGAGCAAAGTTCTCCATGTGTCAGAGAGATATTGAGTGTGTATTAGGTGTGAAAAGAGTTTGCTGATTTGGGTGGAATATCTGCTGGGTGGTCTGTGTTTCGTGCGTTGAATGTCGAGTGAGGGGTCTAGAGTGCAATTGTAGTCGACACATATTATAACATGGCCTGCTTTCAAATGCAAAATCTTTTTGATAGCTTTGTTAAGGAAGGAAAATTGAGCCTCGTTGGGGGCATAAAGAGAGACAACGGTTATGAATATGCCATTCAACTCCTACCAGGATTATTAGCCTGCCTTCTTGGTCAATGTACTGTTTGTGTGGTGTAAAAACCCAATCAGTGTGGAAAAGTATTGCAACTCCTTTCGATTTGCAAGGGGCATGTGCATAATAAGCTGTGGGGTATTTTGTTGATCATAGTTGTGGTGGGTTTTTATTACAGAAAGTGGGTTTCCTGGATACATACTATGGCTGCCTCGAAGTCAAGCATCTCCTTTAGCATTTGTTTACTTTTATAGGGGCTATTAAGGCCTTTGGCATTTAGGGAGAGAACTTTCATTATGTGAGAAGCCATAAGTGCGGATTATCGATTAGGGCTAATACTAAAAGCCTGAACGTGAAACTGTTGTGAAGTTCACCCCTAGAGTATAAGTACATACCCAACTGAGCCTTGTAGAAATGTATGCACTTTGAAGAGTGAGTCTTGCCACGTTCCCTGTTAAAGGAGGCATACCACAGCCATTTAGCGGATTATCGATTAGGGCTAATACTAAAAGCCTGAACGTGAAACTGTTGTGAAGTTCACCCCTAGAGTATAAGTACATACCCAACTGAGCCTTGTAGAAATGTATGCACTTTGAAGAGTGAGTCTTGCCACGTTCCCTGTTAAAGGAGGCATACCACAGCCATTTATAATGTTTATCATGGCTACAGGTTTCTATGGGGAAAGAGGGAAAAGTAGGGAAGGGAGAAAGAATAACAGAAAAACAAAAGTATATACATGTGGCTCTGTGAAGGGGGAGAAACATAATAGTCACGGGTGGGGCGCAATAGAATTAGTCCCCACAAACGACCTGTGAGGGAGGCTACAGAGCTCCTCCTGACCCGATAAAGTAAATTATCATGCATGCAGCTTTAAAATGTAAAATGTAAAATGTAAAAACAACCGTTGCCACAATAGGATTGAACATGTAACAGACAATGTGCAAAGTTAGAGATATTTACGTTTAAACCTCGTCCATAATATTGTCTTTCAATTTTACTAGGGTAAATTGTATGCTTGATTTGTGGTCCTTGGTAGTTGTGACACCGGGACTCTCATATTGTAATGTTTGATACGAGTGTACTATATACCGTGACGAGGTGGTGTAGTTATCACCTTTATAACTCGGTTGAGAATAATGAGCAGTATGATACCATGTTAATAGTTTTGAGGCTTAATCTTTAACACCTTAAGCAATGATCCATGTCACTGACACAGCGTGATCGGAATTGAGTATAAAAACTCACGGACAAGTCTATTTTGCGGACATGGCTTATGAATATATTAGGTGTGCTGTGTAGCCCACAGGGTTGGTAAGTAAATATCTAAATATATGAAGCGGCCCTACGGATTATGCTTTATATTGTTAACCTGTGTTAAGGTGCCTAGAGTGTTTTATATGTACGCAGTTGTTGTTATTCATCTACACTTTAACGCCAGGCCTATAGTCAGATAACAGGTGCAGTACAATTCTATACATACATAAGGCAGTAGTGGGTATGTGTATACCTACAAAGTTAGGAAGATAGCCATATCAAAATTAAGGTGGCAGCCATATCAGCTGGGAAGCATAACTGGAAATTGTCTCTGTTGGTTCGGAGGCTGCAGCAAAGTTCATGGTTTCATGGCTGATGATCCTGCCATTTGCCATTCCGCTTGCATTGTCCTTGGAGAGCGATCCTCCGATTTTTCTAGGAGGTTGGTGGTGGTGGTCCAAATGCCCCAGTCCGTTAGTAGTTTTAGTCCTTCTTTGGGGTCGGTAAACACTTGGGTTTTCCCTTGATGCCATGTAATCAATTTGGTGGGGTAGCCCCATCTGTGGGCCACATTATTGTTTCGAAGTGTCTTAGTGATCGTGACAAATTCCTTGCGTTTTGCCATCGTGGCTGCTGATAAATCTGCGAACAGGGTGACCTGCTGGTGAGGGTCCGGGAGTGTGGGTAGCTTTCTTGCTGCTGCCAGTAGCGATTCTTTATAGGCATAATAATGGAATCTGACGATGATGTCTTTCGGTACTTCGCTGGAAAGACGGGCTGGGCGCGGGAGCCTATGCATGTGGTCGTATGCCCATGCTGAGTCTGGTAGGCCCGGGACCAAGGACTTGCAGATGGAGAGTATGTAGGCTGGAAGGGCTTCGTGGGAGACATCGTCGTGTATGCCCCTGAAGCGTACATTTTGTCTTCTCGACCTGTCATCCCTATCGGCTACTTTTAGTTTCAGTGTCTCATTCTTTTCTGATAATTTTTGTATTTTGTCCACTACTTTGTTGTGGACAATGCATAATTCTTCAGTTCTATTTTCCAGGTGACTGGTTCTATCACCAAGGCTGGAAATTTCTCTCCTTAAGTCTCCATCAATATGGTGGAAGTCTGCTGTAATCGTTGTGCAAAGCTCTTGTAGCATTTTATGCAGGCTACGTTCTGTGACAGATGAGTCAGAGTATTTGGAGGTTCCCGACTCATAGTCGGATTGGCCGTCCGATGATGGATGTTTCGTCACCATCTTGATAATCTTTGCGGCGTTCGTTTTTCTTAATTTTGGCCGTTTCAGACAACTTTAGCTGTTTGGTCGGTGGCATGGTGTATCCTGTCACTTTTCACGCCGTAATGGTTGTAAAGAACGCTATTTCAAGTAGCTATTTGTCGCTTACAGGTCGGGTTTTCATCGGAGCTCTTATGCCATGCGTCCTCTCGCACCAGAAGCTGGACACGCCCCCCCGGCATTCCATCACTGACAGCCTAGACTATTCCAAAACTCAAAACTGAACTACATTGTAGAGGTATACCATTTTCAGAGATGGCTAAGAAATTAGAATTATTTTGTCTTGTGTTCTCGAATGCTAGTGCCATCAGCCAAAAAACCTGCTCATTACAGACTTTAACTACTTCATTAACTCGGATTTATATTATGCTTAGCATATGACATCCTTCCTGAATAACATGCAAAACAGGTTAGAGGAAGTGGAGGCACAGTCCATTAATCCAGAAGCTCCTACAAAGGCATATAGTATACATATACCACAGTTTAAGCATCTGCAGTAGGTACCATCCCATGTTCACTCATTACCCCAACTCATTTCATCCTAGCAAACCTTAGGGAAGATATTTTGGATGGAAAGACATTAATTTTGCAACTTTATTAATTGCGTTGCATGATGTTTTAGAAAAGCAGTTGATTTAATGTGGAGATGTTTTAGGAGTACCCAAAGACAAAAAAAAATCTTAGGTTAAATAAGAAATTATAATCAAACCACAATTTCTTGTTATGGAGGATGTGTGTTACTTCAAAAAGTGCTTTAAGTGTAATTAAAATAGCAGCTCTTCGGGGGCAGGTGCTTGGAGCAAAAGCTGACCATATGCCATCTCTGTTAGCTCCCGACCTCATTCCAAACAATCTGCTAATATCAAGCTCCACAAGAGTCATCTAGTCGGAACTAGCACATAACATGATACTAAACAGCGAGCTGCATTGATAGATGCCTTTTTTTTAATCACAGAAGACCGTCAAACTAAAATGCAGAACCAGGGCCTACCTTACACCGGCCATCCTCGGCCTGTGTAGAGGTATTTTTTAAGAATTGATTTAAACACAGTTAAAATATATATAAGAAGTGTGTATATATAAATATACATAAAAGAAAATAAATGAAGAGATGCACTCTCAGGACTTTACAATAAAAAAATTAAGATTTATTCCAATAGGTATTACATCAAAAAAATAACTGACGTTTCGACCCGTTCGGGTCTTTCTCAAGGTCAATGTACCCATATACAAAAGTTATATATATATAAGAAATATACAAATGTACTCACCAGTAGTGAAAAAAACCCTGATTCCCTTTGTGTCTACCCGGAAGTGAAACCCGCAATCACATGAAATGCCGCAATGAAAACATGATGACGTGTAAGTCGTTGCTATGATACCAATAAACAAATGTAATTTAAGAGATCGGTGTTCAATTCCGTGTTGTATGCACAGTGTGATAATATGATAAGGATGAAAAGTGGTAAAGAGAGACATAAGTCCTCAAAGAAGAATGTGCATGATGTGGAATGTGAGAAAATGTGAATCGAACATTGATGATGTGTGATAAATATCATGCAAATAATAAAGCCGTGTCCAACAAAATCCCAACACATTCTAAGAACAAAAGAGACAGAAAAAAACATGCATACATTTAAAAACATTTCAAATACCAAAGGAAGATTCTGAGATATATACATCGAAGATTACTTAAGAGGAAACTACAGGCATACAACTATACAGGCTCATAGTTAATGAATAAGAAATAAATCTTAAGAGACATATCAAACAGATCTAGGAGTCAGATGAACCACTGACTAATGAGTTTAGATAGTGTAAAAACACTGAAAGCATAAAGAAAATAAGTGTATATGTATATACATTAAGAAAAGAAATGCAATCATCGATTTTAAGGAGGCAAACACAAGGGTGTATATGTGTCATAGATTCCATGGACATATTAAACATAGGGGACCAATGTCCCCTAATGCGATCTCTTAGGGTTAAGTCAGTTTTACCGACATAAGAGAGTCCGCAGGGGCATGTGATCATATATATCACATGGTCAGTGGTACAAGTTATATAGTGTGGTATTTTAATTCTCTGGCCATTATGGGGATGGGCAAAAGTCGTACCACTGACCATGTGACTGCAGGTAATACATCCGCTACATTTGTAGCAACCCTTCTTGGTAATCATAGCAGGTTTACGGTAAAAAATTATCGGATCACTTTTCACCAACAGATCTTTCAAGTTCTTATTTCTTCTATAACTAATAACAGGTGTATCCAGAAATGTATTAGGTAGTATTTTGTCCGAACGTAATATTTCCCAGTGCTTGTAAATGGACTGTCTTACTTTAGACGTGCCAGTGTGAAAGGTCATGGGAAGAAAAAGTTTAGGCTTTTTAGGTTTCTTTTCTGTTTTGATATTACATTTTTCTCGGTTCCATATTTCAAAAGCTCTAGTCTGAGCTATTTGGAGGACATGTGGTGGGTATCCTCGCATACAAAATCTTTCCCACATCTCTTTCAGTTGGGCTTTTCGTTTTTTTGTCTCCGTATTATATCTCAATGTTCTTAAGAATTGTGCTAGTGCTAGATTGTATTAAGACTATAAAGTATCTATCATTGTACATGTTTCAAAATATAAAAGAACAAAAACTTATGCGTTATGAGGTTTACCATGTAGTAATATTAGGAAGGATAATGTTATAACATTTGTATTACTCTTTCATCATAATATATTTATTTCACTGGAAATCTTAAGCAAGTGAGAGGATTACAAGGTCAAAATAAATGTGACAATCTAGTATGGTGAAAACAAATTACTCCGTGGCACAAGATGAAATATCTTATTTTGCCAATATACTTGTTAGCATACTGCATATTTGACTTAACGGACATAAATTGCAATAAAAAGTAGAGCCCTGACAAGGACAGAAGTCTTCCATACTTGTTTGATTATTGTGTTTCTAAATCCTTGTATTGTATAACCAATATCATCTGAGTAAATAAGAGACTCTGTGCACGTCTACATTTGTGATAACTGATAGTGCAGTGGATTCTCAGAGTGTTTATTCTTATATATATATATATGTATATATTTGCGGTTATTTGTATTTTATATATAGATAGATATATATAGAATGTCATTCTAAGTGTATTTTGTTACCAATATATATATTTCAATAGCAAAATACAGTTAAAATGAAATTACATATGTAAATATAATGTATTTATTTTTTTAAAAACATATATTTTATTTATTTTATTATTTTATTTATTTATTATTGTAATTATACGTGTATATATAAATATAAAATATATATAGATGTATTATATATATACGATATATAACATCATTCTAAGTGTATTTTGTTACCAATATATATATATATATATATATATATATATATAATATATATATATATATATATATATATATATATATATTTCAATAGCAAAATACAGTTAGAATGGAATTACATATGTATATATAATTAATTTAATTTTTTTTTTAATATTTTATTTATTTATTTTATTATTTTATTTATTTATTATTGTAATTATACGTGTATATATAAATATAAAATATATATATATAGTCTACAACTGGAGTGGGCAGAGTAATGTATTATTTATTTACATAGCACATTTAATTGCAACATTGTTGCCCAAAGTGCTTCACAGTTACATTAAAACATACATTTATAAAAACATTAGCAGGTGTACAAAAGGCCCTGTCTATGACATCACTTGCTGCTCCAGCCTGTCACAGGTCAGAGTATTTTGGCGGTTGCCATCTTCAAACGGTTGTATTTTAAAAACTATACATCCTACAGTGAAGAGCTTATATTGTGAGAATCACAAGACCCAGACCTACATTTTGATGCATAGTACGTCTCTGAAGTATTAAAAATGAAGGCACAGTCGCAGTTTAGAAATTGCCCTTCAAGTTTGAGCTGGCTAGAGTGAAGTTTCAATGAATGTCAATGGACGGCGTGAGTTGCAAACAAATGGTCATATTGTGAAAACTATCAGGACTATGGCTTAGCCATGGACATTTCTAGTGGCAGCAGGGATAGCTGAACGTTTTGATATAAGATTTGTGTAGGTGGGCTTGAAAATGAGGGAGTGGTGGCAGTTTAGAAATCATGTCCTGATTTTTCAGCTTTTGACAGCTCCCACTCTAGCTTTGCCATTCATTCCTAAGGGACAAATTGCGCCACAAGAACGACGTTATTCCGTGAACCATTCAGCGAATGTGTGTATGGGGGCAGTTTGTGTGTATAGGGGGCAGTTTGTGTGTGTATGGGGGGCAGTGTGTATATGTGGGGCAGTATGTATGTGGGGCAGGGTGTGTGTGTGTATGTATGTGGGGCAGTATGTGTATGGGGGGCAGTGTGTGTGTGTGGGGGGCAGTGTGTGTGTATGAAGGGCAGTTTGTGTGTATGGGGGCAGTTTGTGTGTATGGGGGCAGTTTTGTGTATGGGGGCAGTTTGTGTGTATGGGGGGCAGTTTGTGTGTAATGGGGGGCAGTTTGTGTGTATGGGGGGGCAGTTTGTGTGAATGAATATCCTATGTCCCCCCTCCCTTCTTACCTTTACTGGGGGGGAGGGGGGACATTTCCCTGGTGGTCCGGTGGGGGATTCCCTGGTGGCCCGGTGGGGGATTCATTGGTGGTCCCAGTGTGGAGAGTGAACTCTAGCCCATGCTCCCGGGCTAGAGTTCACTCTCGCGAGATTTGGAGCGTTGCCGTGGTAACCGCGGCAATGCTTCAAATCTCACGAGAGGAGGACCCGGAGGAGCTGCAGGCTGAGCTCCCGGGTCATCCCTTTCCCTCCCCTGCCAGCTGTCAGCACAGTGCCTGCGGACCGGGGAGGGAGAGCTCTGATCTCCCCTCCGGTCCGCAGGCACATTGCAGGGCTGGCGCCTGCATGTGCTGACAGGGGAGGGAGACCGGAGGATTTCTCGGGG